GTATAAATGTATATTATTTACATGTATTTTTTTTTCTCACTTTTTATTATTGTTTTGAACGAAAGAAATGTTTTTTTCTTTTATTATCGTAGTGTAAATGTTTCAACGATATCTTTTTGCGTTTGTTTTTTTTTGCAGTTTCAATCATCTTACTTGAAACCCAATAGTACTTTACTGAACATGACGATATAGTTTCGGTTCAGTGTTATCCGATATTAATTTACTAAAAATTTTTTCCACTTTTTCAGCAATTTTTTTATTGTTGTCAGTTTCCACTTTTGTTCATTGCTTTCGTTTTTTTTTTTTTTTTTGCTGTTTCAGTCGTTTTTCTGTGTTTCTTCTCTCTCTTTTTTTCTTCTAGTTCCATTTTCTCATTTGCTTTTAGCAAAGAACATTAAAAATTCTGTTATTTTTTGATGTTGTGTTCATTGAAAGTTGTTGTTCATCTTGTTCAGCCTTGTTTACTGTTCGTTATTTTGGCGTCCAACTGAAGTAGGGAAAAGAAGAAGAAGAAGAAGAAGAAGAGGAGGAACAATTGTGAATTGAATGATTGTTGTAAAGGCAAGGGGAAAAAAATTGCTCGGTCGGTTGATGATGTTGGTTGTCGTTGGACACATTCTGCATTGCTTATCAGTGAACAGTCAAATAGAGACAAGAAGAAAAGAAAAAGAAAAAAAAGGGAATCTGTGACTTTTTTTTTTTCTGGGCAATTGGTTGATTTGTAGTAATTTAAATTCTTCAAGTTTAAAAACATTAAAATTAAATTTCTTTTCATCAATCTTCAATTGACAACATTGGGCACGTTCAAAAACAACTTCTCCTTTTTCACTCAGCGAAAAAAAAGAAAGGAAAAAAAGAAGCGTTCTTTTTTTTTACTTTTAGTTTTCTCACTTTAATATTGATGGCAAGATTTGGCTGAAAAATATACTGTTGTTGAAAACCGCATACAACAACAACAACAGAACATCTTCCATCTCTACAACTAAAAAAACCGACTCCCAATTATCCGAGCGTTAATTTGTTAGTGCTCTTATGTCATTAGTTAAGTGCTTTTGTAACTTTCTGGCTAACAGACTGTTTAGTTGCTTGTCTTACAATTTAGTTCTTTCATTGTTTTTGATTGTTTTGTTGGTGCATAGCTGAGCTTCATGGAAAAAAAAAAAAAGACAGATCAGCATCAAACAAAAGAAGGGGCAAAAACTGTAAAAAAAAAAAAAAGTGATGTACTTTTAATTGGATTGAAATTTCTTTCTACATTTTTTTGCTGTTCTTTCAAAAATCTATCAGTGTTATTATGCACTGTTGTTGTTGTTGTTCGATCAGTGGATTTGTATGTTTTTCTGGTATATATACAAGCAAAACAAATTTGGGTAGGCAAACTGATAATAAATTTGTTCTACCAGTTGGTTTTTCTGAACACCAATGATACAGAGTACAGCAGAAAATGGGGATTATGATAGAAGCACATAGACCTGATATAGTTCTTGGTTATTTTTTCTGTTTTCTGTTTCTTCTACACAAATCTGGTTTTAAAAATTTTCATGTCTTAAAGCAGACTTGTTTTATTTTCCTTTTTTTCTTCTTCTTCTTCTCACCTTTTCTCCTCCTCTCTCCTCTTTACAGAAAAAAAAA